TTTTTTTAATAAAGTGAATTGACATAAGATCTGTTGAGAATTTTCATGTGAAGACTAGACTGCATAAGGTGATAATTTTGGTTTTGATTCAATATATGTGCCATTAACTATATTTCTCTAGCAGTTGGAAAAATGCATTGATGATGCTTTAAGAAAAAATGATTTCAAACCTTTAAAAACACTTTTACAAATTGGTGTTTGTGAAGATGTAAAGATTAAATGCAGCAAGCAATTTTTACACAAGTTGGATGACCTTGTATGCAGGGTAAGTACTCCTTTTCTTTGAATGATTATTGAAATTATTAGATAGCACTCTACTTTCTAGGAAGAAATATTCCATTGGAAAAAATGAATAAAAAGGCTTTGGCAAATTCGTTATATAAATAAATAAGTGCTCATTTTTTAAAATATTTGTTATTGAGAGAGAGAGAGAGCATGCATGGGCAGGAGAGGGGCAGAGAGAGAGGGAGACACAGAATCCGAAGCAGGTTCCAGGCTCTGAGCTGTCAGCACAGAGCCCGATGTGGGGCTTGAACTCATGATCCACGAGATCATGACTTGAGTCAAAGTCAGACACTTAACCGACTGAGCCACCCAGGTGCCCCAGTAAGTGCTCATTAAAAACCAAAAAAAGCCTGAGGAATCCCAAGTAACATATCGGTCTGCTGTTTTCTAAATACAACATACACAAAGCTATGTTTACATAGTGATCCCATAATTATTAACTGTTACCTAAACTGGGGAAAAATAGTCTACCTGTTTGAAGTTTGAGCAACTTTTTAAAAAGCCATCAGCATATTCTTCATGTTATGGGCCAGAGCTTGGTGTTTTCAAAAATAAAACAAATAAACAAAAATTATCTACAACCTTGGACTTGATTTATCATATGTAAGGTATTTTTATACATGAGAAAAAGTGAGTATTGACCGTCTCCCCCAGTAGATTTGTTATCATGAATCTAAAAATTGAGTAAAAATTTCTTTTATCCATTAGTTACATACATAGAGCTTTGTAGAATGGAAGGTAACTGATGCATTGCATCATAGTCTAAAGTTGCAGGAATTTATACAAATCTGCATTTTTATACTGAGTTTGTCACTCATTGGCTGGGTGGCTTTAGGCCACCCTAGTGCTCTCCTAAACCACACTTTTGTACTTTGCAATATGGACATTAGGATAATGGCAAACTTACAGGATTTGTGAGGATTATAAAGCTCCTAGCACAATGCCAATTCTGTACTGTTTTGTGTTTACAGATGTTTACATGTATCCTTTTGTTTCAGGAGCTTAATAAAAAGGACATCCAAACTGTTTCAACCATTTTTGTTTCTTTTGGAAGATGTGGTAAAAATATCAGTATATTGGGGCAAGCCGGACTTTTAACTATGATAAAACAAGGACTAGTCCAGAAGATAAGTACGAAATGTGTGATGTTGATGTGAGGGAGTATGATTAAAGGTGTGTCGTTTAATAAAATTAACAGCTCAAACAGTTGAAAAAGAAATTTGAGAACTTTATAAAAACTTTTAGATAAAATAAATGTTTCTATAACCTGTGCTACGTGTTACAAAGATGAAGATCAAAAGGACATTCTGTACATAGGCTCCTTGATAATCATGTGAATTTGAGATCACAAGACTCCCTGAGGCCTTTGCATGCTTTATTTTATCTGTTTACTATCTAGCATTATTTGTTTTTCTTTTTATATTATTTTCTACTTCCCATGCTAGAATGTGGGATATTGATTTTTATTTGTGTTGTTCGTTTCTGTGTACCTAACACTGAGAACAGTACCTGGGATGTAATATCTACTCAAATATCTGAATTCATTAAAATAAAATAATTCATTAAAACAAATTCATTAAGGGGCGCCTGGGTGGCTCAGTTGGTTAAGCATCTGATTTTGGCTCAGGTCGTGATCTCACAGTGCATGAGTTCGAGCCCCGCGTTGGGCTCTGTGCTGACAGCTCAGAGCCTGGAGCCTGCTCTGGATTCTGTGTCTCCCTCTCTCTCTCTGCCCCTCCCCTGCTCACACTCTGTCTCTTTCTGTCTCTCAAAAATGAATAAAATGTTACAAAAATTTTTAAAAATTCAATAAAATAATACTAAAACTTTTCAAATAGTGATAATGCCAAAATAATCTAATATATGATGATAATTTATTTTTATCTGTTAATGAATGTACCTGAACTAGGTATTTGAAGGGGAAAAGAAAGGTGGTCTACCTAGAATTAGGATTAGTTCATCTATTCCCATCTAAACAATGGAAAAATATGGTGAGATACCAAAAAATGAAAACAAGAAAGATGTTTAAAAACATAAACTTATTTTCATATAATACTGGAATTTTTATTTTTGATGTTTCTTTATTCCTAGGTTTACTGTTTATGCAAAGATAAGTACATTCTTAAAATTATTAAAATTGAATTCAAAGTAATTAATATGCACATTTCTTTTTTTACATGGTTGCCTGGTTTGAAAAATCCAAGGAGATTATTCTCAGTCGAGGAAATTCAAAAGATGAGGCAGCTATAAATATGATAGAAGACTTACTTGATCTTTTGATGGTAAAAATCACATTGATTAACTAATCTTACAAGTCTGTTTACTTAAAAAACAATTTGTGTTCTATATGTTCTGAGCCTAAAAGTCACTAACAAATTGGCTAGTGACTTGATTTAAGTACTCTATTCAGATTGTTTAAAGCACTTATCCTGATTAATGTAATTAAATAGTTAATAAATAAAAGTTAAATAATTACATGGTGAGTTCCAATGTGATCTGTTATTTTAATACTATTTTTAATGGCTTATAAGATAGTAAATTACAAACTAAATATTATTCACTTTTTTTTTCAGGTCATACATGACATCAATGATGAAGGTATAATAAGCACTTTACTTCTATTAAATCAATAATTTCCTATTAGAGTTTTAGTATAATTTTGCAATCCTCATAGTATTGTGCTAATATTAGGAATCTACTAGTTAATTTGGGGATCAACAACCTTGTTCTATAAAGGGACAGATAGTAAACATTATAAGCTTTATATTAGGACCAAGAAAAAGAAAGTGAGAATATTATATAGCCACTTATATAACAAGAAAATAAATATCCACAGATGTTTTATTTATACAATTCAAAATATTATAAAATTGAGTACAATGTTTCTGTAATAGGTCAACTAATGAGAATAGTACTCTTGAGGGGATGACATTTCACTTAATTACGGTTCAGAGTTAGTGTTTGCTGTTATCAGAATTCATTGCAAATGTTCATTTTTTATGCTTATCTGTAATGAGATTTTATGTATATTGCATTAGAAACTGTCTCTTCATGTGGATAATGCCAAATATCAGTTCATGAGCATGATTTTTAATTGAGCGTGTTCATCACTTGGAAAGCATTTGTAGAAGATTAGATTCCTTTCTTAATATTTGCTTTTTAGAATGTCATTGCATGCAGATGAATGACTGTCAACTGAAGGTTAGGTAGACCCCCCTCAATTGCACATTTAAATGGGTTTTGAAATATGGGAATGTCCTTTGCACTTTGTCAGTGTCCAAAAATGCTGCTCAACCTGTAGCTGGAGTTTGGAAAAAATGTACTCCTGTAAATTTGTGTGAGAATGGAGATGTCACTCCTTGTTTTAATTTTTGACAGCCTGGGAAATGTATAAAACAGTTTAGCATAACTTGTGATTCAGATAACCTTAGTTTCATTGAAATGACTTCAGTGAAGTATAAGTTTGTCATATCAGCATGATTTTGCCTTGTAATTTTGTGTCAGATTCATTAAGAAACATCAACTCTGCAGCCCATGCTAATTAATTACAGAAACCATTCAGTGGTAACTGATGTTGGCTAAGTTCATGAGAGTAGAATGAAATTCGCTTTGCTACTGCTGGTTCAGTGAAACATGATTGAATCAAATATTTCCACAGAGTCACCTGCTGATGAGTAATACAGCCATACAAATGGGCAGTGGGGGGGCGCCTGGGTGGCGCAGTTGGTTAAGCGTCCGACTTCAGCCAGGTCACGATCTCGCGGTCCGTGAGTTCGAGCCCCGCGTCGGGCTCTGGGCTGATGGCTCGGAGCCTGGAGCCTGTTTCCGATTCTGTGTCTCCCTCTCTCTCTGCCCCTCGCCCGTTCATGCTCTCTCTCTGTCCCAAAAATAAATAAACGTTGAAAAAAAAAAACAAAACAAAAACAAAAACAAAAAAAAACAAAAAAAAACAAACAAATGGGCAGTGGGGTGGATTTGGTTTGTGGGCCATAATTTGCCAACGCTTGATCTAATGGGACAAAATTTTCAAAATAGAGAACACATTACAACTCATCCTCACTTGTGAGTAGCCCTTTTTTTGTGCCAAGCAATCAGTCCAAATTATTTTATCTCTGTTGGTTGAGGAAGAATTACTTAGGATTAGTCATTGAGGCTGGTGAATTGTTTGTAAATAAAGGAACAATTTGCCTTCAAAACCAAAACCTTAGAAAAGCTCAATTGCTATTTATTTCAATGGTAGTTGATGCTACCTTTTCATTGATTGCTTTGCAGTTGATTTAACAGTCTAGTCTAAATTCTTAAGTTTTTAGGGAAGAAAACCATCCTGAGGCACCAGTGAGTATGAAGTAATCAAAAAAAATTTTAAGTAAATCATTATATCTTTTTTTTTTTAATTTTTTTTTTAACATTTATTTATTTTTGAGACAGAGACAGAGCATGAACGGGGGAGGGTCAGAGAGAGGGAGACACAGAATCCGAAACAGGCTCCAGGCTCTAGGCTCTGAGCTGTCAGCACAGAGCCCGACGCGGGGCTCGAACCCATGGACCGTGAGATCATGACCTGAGCCGAAGTCGGCCGCTTAACCGACTGAGCCACTCAGGCGCCCCAATCATTATATCTTTTTATCTCATTGAATGATTTTTTTTTTCCTTCAATGTAGTCACTTTGGAAATTTGTATATTTTCTGTTGCAGTATTGCCATTATTTAAAATTATTTTTTATCTTTGCATTATAAAATAGCATGTGGCAAATTCCTCTGAATATATTTAGTATTGATAAAGCCTGCTCTTTTGAGAATAGGGTTAACTTTTAGAAAAAGCTCAAATATTTAGATCTTTATATCGACAAGAGTTTATGGCCATTATGGAATTTACAGTATACAGTAAAACCTTGGTTTATGAGAATAACTCAGTCCGAAAACATGCTTGTAATTCAAAGCACTTGTATATCGAAGTGAATTTCCCCGTTAGAAATGGAAACTCAGATGATTTGTTCCACAACCCAAAAATATTCGTATAAAAATGATTATGATATTGTAATATAGTACAAAATTATAAAATACAAAATATAAAGAAAAATACACAAATGAAGCTGCATTTACCTTTGAAAACTTTCGTGGCGTGATGAAGGAGACAAGAGAGAGGAAGGTAATTGTGTAGGACAGCTTTCTCTATCACTGACTGAATCACTGCTATCTATGGAATCTTTTTCTTTTTGTGCAACTTAATCAAGGAACTTATCCAATGACACTTACTTTTGCCTTCTTTAGAGGATTTTGCAGAAGTGTGACATTGCGTTGTCGTTAAACAGATTCATCGCTTGCACTGCTACAGCCTTATTCGGGTGGTGATGTTCTACAAAATCTTGTACTTTTTCCCACATTTTACACATCTCCCTAATTTCATTTGAGGTGAGGGATTCCTCCGCCTTTTCTCCTCTTCCTCTTCTCCTCCTCCTCTACAGACGAGATGCAGACGTAGACTTCTTACAAAATCTTGCAGTTTTGGCCATTGCATACCTCATTCGTACTTCTCGATGGTTTCCTTCTTAACTTCCACCGTAATCCTCTCTTCTTGTAACCACCTTTCTTTTCAGCCTTTTTCTGCTGGGAGCCATTGTATACGCTCGCCCGATGTTGACTACAGTATTAATAAACTCTTGCCATATACTGTATAATGTCACTGGCAATATGGCAGCAGAGGAAAGGATCTATATCTGTAGGCAGCCTGACCTAGAATGAAGCAAAGCGTTCCTAAGCTCACTCTTGCCTGGAAAAGCAAAGGACTGTCCATAGGTGCTTCAAAATGACAAAAAATACACTAGCACCAATTGTGGGCACCTTCCAATGTCCTGAATAATCACTGATTTCTGCCAAATACCACGTCCTGAAACTGAGCACGTGAGCATGGGAGATGGTCACCCATGATCCTTCAGAGAGAGAAAGAGAGAGAAGACCCATTGGCTGGTTGTGATCAGGTGACATTCGGCATCACGTACGACTCGTATTGCATGACCTTGCTCATTTATCAAGTTAAAATTTACTAGAGATGTTTGCTTGTCTTGTGGAATACTCGCAGAACAAGTTACTTTTAATCCAAGGTTTTACTGTATGACTAAATTAATGAGGCCTGTTTTCATAAGAACTTCACTATAGAAATTTCAACTCTTGAACTAGAAGTCAGTACTGCCTTAGGTGCTCAAAAGGAGAAGCTGAATCTGGGGTTTTTCCTTTGCCATTAAGATGAGTCATTGTGTTGAATGGTGTTTCTTCGGAGCCACATAGCTAGTTCATAGAAGAGGTAGGATTGGATTTCATGTTTTCTGATGCCCATCTAGACAGTGGGCCATGTCTGAACTAGTGCATTCTTTCATTAACTCAAATAAGAAAAGACTGTCATTTAAAATGGTTTAAAATATACATTTATTAATGATTTAACACTTTCAGGTAAAAGGCAAGTAGCGGAAAATTTTATACCTCAAATCTGTGTCCTGGTTATTGACTCAAGAGTGAATATTTGTATTCAGCAAGAGGTAAAGTCATTTGTTAGATTTTCTTTTAAAACCTAAAAATGAGAAAGTGAAGAAAATATAGTAGCAATTCATCAAATTGAATAATCATTTTATCTTGGTATTCAATTAATTATGTATTGTATTTCTGCTGTCTTAATTTATTGCCTGAAATGATGAATAAATGTTACCTAAATATTTATTGAATAGTCATAGCCATCTGGGTTTATGTACACATAGCTCAGATGAAAATAAGTTCAACCATCCAGATATTAGGAGTTCTCAGTATTTAAATCCTAAAAATAACCTGTATTATTATACATATGTGTGTACGTATAGGTAACCGTAAGAACAAATCATAATTTTGCTTTAGTTCTTAAAATAGAGTGATAGAAAACCTATGTCTTATTGCAAAGAGTAGAACTGGACTCATGGTATATTCTGTTTTTGATAAGTGTAGGTATCATGGTATATTTTATTTTTGATATCCTTGTCATGTGTTTTTGTATTCACTGTTTTAGTTTATATTCTTCCCTCCACCCTTCTCTATTCCCTGCATAAAATGCTGTGCTAAATAGGTTCCTAAGTTTGTATACCTAGAATATTTCTTTAAATACTTAAATATACACATGTATATATTTATATAACTGAATATATAAAGTTAATGGATTATCTTTTTTTCTTTTCTAGGCTCTAAAAAAAATGAATGTTATGCTTGACAGAATGCCTCAAGACGCCAGAACAATACTCTCTGACCAAGAAATGTTTATTCTCATGTAATAATTTGTATTATATTGCTCTCATTAGTGGTTCAAGTCAATAATTTAAAGGATATTTTACAAGGCTATAGGCAACCATGAGTTGCATTAATAATTAAAACTGATAAGCTGTTTTAGATTTGTAATATAATTTATGGCTATATGTCCTGCAGAGATCTGTGATACTAGCCAATTGTAAATTTTAGTGAAAATTTCCCCCCCAAATACATGGGTTTTCTATTTAATTGATACTAGTTTAGTATATGATCTGTTATTTTGGTTTACAGGAGTAGTATGGGAGAAAGGATTTTAGATGCTGGAGGTAAGTATGTTTTTTTCAAATGTTCATATTTGAAATTATTCAAGATTTATTAATAGAATATAATATCTTCTTAGTCAAAGTAACATTAACATTTTAATGTAGTGAGATTATGTGAGGAAATTATAAACTCTGTACAATTGAGCAATTTTTAATTACTAATAAGAAATGATCTGTATCTATGGGGCTAAAATAATAATTAAGCATGATAATAGGAGTTGTTAAATATAATTTATGCCTGTTGTAGATTTATGAATAATAATTTAATTTTCTAATAGATTTGAATTACTTTTCCTAAGAAATTCCTCAAATAGTTTTATATTTGGAATTGGGAGTTTTAATATTTTGGGGACTAATAAGTTTGTTTTTAAACAATGTGTTTATTAGAAGAACTCAAATTTTCTTTTGTCAGTTTCATATGAGAACATTTTGATGTGTAGTGATTTACATATAGAACAGACCACTGGTTAAAGTACTTTGGAATAACTATAAACATAGTACAAAAGTAAAAGATTCTGTGATTTATAGATTATTGTATGAGTTATTTTGCAATTCACAACTCTAATAATGGAATGGCAGAGCCTTTGAATATTTAGGAGTTTCTTTTAAATATCCTGTTTTCGGGAAAAGTTTTACTCCTTTTTTCTGCTGGTAAACTTATTATTTGGACTGTGTTCATTTTTGCGATGATGGGATAGATCTAATTCTTCTAAAGAAAATGGCAAAAAAAAGAGTGAATTACACTAACGTTTTCTTTCTTTCTCCTGCTTGTTCTAATACCTTATAAATGATGACGTGTGAGCTTCTTTTTCACAATTTCAAATAACATATTAACGATTTTTTTCAAGATTATGATTTACAAGTAGGTATCGTAGAAGCACTGTGTAGAATGACTTCAGAAAAACAAAGACAGGAACTTTCATGTCAGTGGTTTTCAATGGATTTTATTGCTAATGCATTTAAAGGAATTAAAGACTCTGAATTTGAAACAGTGAGTAGTATAAAAAAATACCAAATTAACAACAGTTTTTAAAAATCACTCTGCTTTTTAAAAGTCTCTCTTTTTTTTAAAATTAGGATTGCAGAGTATTTCTCAACCTTGTAAATGGCATGCTTGGAGACAAGAGAAGGTAAGCATAATACAGTATTCAACCATTTACTGACAAAGAACTAGAGCTCAAGAGGGAGTACACAGTGTTGAACCTTTAAAATTTATTTGTTGTGTTGGAATGGAAAATGCACAGAGATACTTCAAACGATATCCTATTGTAACACTGTGTAATAAGGTACTACATTGGTAGGCTGAAATAATCTTCCACTGGTCTTATTTTACTTCGTACTTTTTAGAGGAAACATGCATTTTTAGTTAATATTAATAACTTTGAGTGTTTGAAATTGATTTACTATAATTTAGAATTCCATTTGCATTATTATAAAAATCTAGGCATAAATATTACTTGAGCTACCTCCTTTCTCCACGTACTGTAATAAAAATATACGACAAACAAATACATTTTTTTATAATTAACATACACTAAGGCTAACCTTTCTGAGGTTATCTAATCTCGGGAATGGGCATGAATGAAAGGTAATTATCATAATTATCACTTTTGTTAGTAACAAAAGAATAGTATTTGGAGTTCAGTGTCTTGCACTGTATTTTAGATGCTCAGGGTACATTTATTGGATGTGTGAGTTCACATTTACTTTAGGAAACAAAAGACAGGCTGAGGGTTAAGTGCAGGGACTCATGCTATTTGGATTTGAATTATAGTTCTCCTCTTCCTATTCTAATGTTGGGCAAAGTACTAAACTTACTTGTCTCAGTTCCTTAGCTGTAAAATTATACTAACACCTACCTCGTACGTTTGTTGTGACAATTAAGTTAGATGATCATATGCTAAGTGCTCATAATATTATCTGCCCAGGAAAGCGTTCTGTGAATTCAGTCTTTTTTTTTTTAAGTTTATTTATTTATTTTTTTTTTGGGGAGCCACCATGTGAGCTTTTGTGGGGGAGGGGTGGAGAAAGGGGGAGAGAAAGAATCCCAAGCAGGCTCCATGTTGTCAGTGTGGAGCCCGATGTGGGGCTTGGACCCACTAACTGTGAGATCATGACCTGAGCTGAAATCAAGAGTTGGACACTTAAACAGACTAAGGCGCCCCCTAGGTCATTTTTATCAGCAGTATTATTTATTTCTACTCTTCTTTTCCCATGTAAATCCTATGGGAGCTTCCACTGTACTGAAAGTATCTGCTAAATTAGGAATTTCTACTCTGAGTCGATGGCATGAAAAGTAAATTGGTACACTCACTCGAGTCAGAATGGAAGGTTGAGTAGTATCCTCAAAATAATACACAGAAACAAATTTCCATTAAACTCTTATTTTAAAATGTAGTGAAGAAGGATAAGGGTTGGGCGTCTGCCTTCTGCTCAGGGTCATGGTCTTGCCTCTTGTGGGTTCAAGCCTTGCGTTGTGCTCTGTGCTGACAGCTCAGAGCCTGGAGCCTGCCTTGGATTCTGTGTCTCCCTCTCTCTGCCCCTCTGCCACTCATGTTCTATTTGTCTCTCTCAAAAATAAGTAAACATTAAAAAAAAGTAATAAGAAAGAAAAGATGATTTGATTTCCATCGTTATGCCTACTTCCTGATTTCCTTCTGATCCTAGATATGCTCTCTATGGCTGGTCAAGATTACACTGTGAAGGCCTATTAATCTTTAGTGCAAACTACTTTTTTATTTCAGGGTCTTTACATTTCCTTGTTTATCAGCATTTCTTGATAAACATGAGGTGAGTTTTGAATTTAACATGTTTTAGTTATTGGATGAATTTTGATACCAGGGTCAAGTCAATTATAGCTTATAAATTGACAAGAACATTAAAAATAGTCATAATTTGATCACAGATACAGCTAGTCTAGTCTAGTATTCTGTGTGTGTGTGTGTTTTCTGAAGTGATATATTTATAGCCAAGGATAACTTAAATAAAAGTCTGTGCTTCAGATTTTCTTTCTTTCCCTTAATCAAGCCCACTAATTGATTTATCATTCATTAATATATTCAGACTGATATTGTTAACCTTTATTTACACTTGGAATGTTTGTGATTTCTTGGAGCTCATTTCTGTGTAAAATATTAAAGAAGCATTTCTTTTGATTGTTTCTAAATTGGTTTAAATGCTCTACTTGTCTGCCCTTTATCTTCGTCACCTTTCTCTTTTCTTAAAAACAAACACACAAACAAAACTGAACCATGAACATAACATAGGCCTCATTTTCTGTTGTTGTTTTTAAAATCATAGTCTATAACAGTTTTATATATTTGTTTTATTAGTTGAAAATACCTTCAGATGAAAAACTTGAGGAATTTTGGATAGATTTTAATCTTGGGAGCCAGGCTGTATCATTCTACGTTGCTGGAGATAATGACGTAAGCTTTATTCCATCTACCATTTTATATGTTTGTTTATGTACGTCTACAATGTCTTAATTTAAGAATGTGGATTTTTTTGTATGTTTATTTTTCTAGCTATTTTAATAGATTTTAGTATTAGCCCCATAGTTTTGATGAGCATGGTAACCCTTTAGCAGTTAATTAGAAATGAAAATTATTTCTGATGTTTTATTGCAACAGAAAATGCTAAATTTTAATACTAGTTTTTCAATCTGAGCTTTTCAGAAATAAATTACATGTTAATGATATAACATGTAACATTCATATGAACAAGAGTGAAATTTAGAAAAGCCACCAGTTACTCAAATACAGAGGCACTCACTTAAAAATATTAACAGGTAATGACGAGTGGTCTTATACCTTCTAAAATCTTCTGTTTGAAAATAGAGAGGGATTGATTCTTATGGTGGTATTTGGAAGAGATTTGCTTCTTTATGTGCTATATTAATAGCTATGTTTAAACTTTCCAGCCAGATGGTATATTTTCTACTGACTTCTTTTTAACCTGAGCAGAATTCTTGAGTCATTGTTTCCAAATAGCTATCCTTAATATTTGGTCCATAGGCAAGCTTCTAGTCCTAACCATATAGTCACTTCGTAAACATCCAACTAAGAGTTGATCCGCATTTACTAATCAGATGTGGTTGCGGATACTTTAATGAGGATTTAGTCATTTTAGTCTGCTCTTGTAAAATACTGCTTTTTGTTCCAGGTAAACTATGGATAGACCTTAACAAAATGCTCCTGAAGATTTCCACATTATTTCTTTTTATGTTAGAGTATCTTCATAGAATACTTAATTAAAATTGAGTTCCAGATACTAGCACTGCTTCTCAGGGTCACTGACAGTTTTCATTAGTGTAATTATTCTTTTACGGTTTGTAGGAATATTTTTAACTGGATTTTTAGGAATGGGATTTCATTTTGGAAGAAGATAGAATAGGATTGATATAGTCCCTACCTTTACTCAGTTTGATGTTATGGATGATTCCAACAAGAAAATAAGCAATTATAGTATGATACATGGTAGGGATAGTATAAAATGCATTTATAAGTGTTAAATCCTGCTGTGTTCCAGATACTGATCTAGAAATGTAGGGAGATTCTTCTTCCAAAACACGTATTCAGAATCCCCTCCTTTCTGGATTTTCTGTAGCAATAGTACATTCTCCCTGTATTCTCTCTGACTTTCTTAGAATCCATACTCTGTAGAGTGGCTGCTTAAAACCCACCTTTTGTCTCTTTAACATTGTATATGAGGGTCTTTATGATCTGGCCCCTGGCTGTTTCTCTGACATCTCAGGACCATTCTCTATGCTTACTATGTTCCAGCCACATTCATTTTTTTTTTTTTTTTTTTTTTTTTTTTTTTTGTATTTCTTTAACAAAGATCATGCCCATTTCGGATCTCTCTACTTGCTGGTTCTTCTGCCTAGAAGGTGCCAGATCTTTGCATCTTAGTTTCTTCCCATTTCGGTTTCAGTACAAATATTGCTTCTTTATGGAGATATTCTCTGGTAACTCCATCTAATGTCTAAAGTTGCCTCCCAACCCCATTATATCACATTGTCTTGTTTTATTTCCCTTACAGTAGTAATTGTTGCTTAAAATCATTTTGTTTGTTGTTTGTTTTCCCCCAACAGAGTATAAGATTTATGAAATCAAGGACTTGTGTCTTCTTATTTATAGCTAATCAAGGACTCAAATTTATTGCAAGAATGAGTGAATAGAAAACTCACAGAACTGAAAGATTTATGGTATGGTTAGTACATAGAGTGGAAAGGAGATTGGAAAGAAATAAAGCAGTGTGGAGCCAAAGAAGGGTTACAAGTAGGAAGTAACATCAATTCAAGGAACATTAAGTAAGAAATTACTATGTGCAAGATTTATGCTAGGCACTGAGGCTCACCTTCTTGTTAAAGATTCTTCGGGGGGGGGGGGGGGGTGGTGGAGAACAGATTAAAAAGGGACAAGACCAGTGGCAGGAGACCTGTGGTAATGCTGGTGAGAAGTCATGCTGGTGTGATCTTGGAAAGTGACAGTAGAGATGGATGGAAATGAAGGGATTCCAGGAAGACTTGAAAAGAGAATTGAGCAGACCTGATTTTTCTCTGGCAAAAAGAGAAAGAAGGATTAATAAAGCTTGAGTGGGTGGATAGAGCTGTGTCACAGGAGGATGCGTTCTGTAGCAGAAATAGGGGGAGTTCAGTTTTGCATGTTTGACGTGGAGATCTTTGTGGGACATTCAGCAAAGATGTCTGCTAGGCAGTTGGATATACTGATCTGAAGTTCAAGTGAGGGAAGTGTGCACAGTGGAGATTTAGAAGCCATCTATGTATAGATGATAAACACGATCATGGGATGTAATGACAGAACTGGGAACCACAGATATACGCAGCATAGGTAGAAGGAATGCTAGCCCGAAGGACACTTACAGAATCAGCCAAAAGAGAACAAACTGGAAGGGTGTCATGTTATGAAAGTGAAGAGAAGGGTGTTTTTTATGAGGGTGGAAATGGTGAACAGTGTCAAATCAAGTGTTAACTGACATCAGAACTGGTGATCCGTGAGACAGCAGTTCTATGGAAGCCATGCGGTTTGCGCATTCCTGGAATGTTTGCATGTCTGTGCAAGAAGTCAGGATGCCAAGTCAGGGGAAGGCACAGTAGTCGCTAAAGTGAGATTGGATTCAAAGGAGGGTTTTTGTGAGGTACTCTGTTTTACTTTAAGAATAAGAGCTTTTCCAAACCGATGGCCAGGATGATAGATTAAATAAAAACCAAGGTCGTGGTGCCTGGGTGGCTCAGTCTGTTGAGCGTCCGACTTGACTCAGAGTCATAGTCGCAGTTGGGGTTTTTTGAAACTTAGCGTCGAAACTCTGTGTTTTTAGCTGAAGAACCTGGAGCCTGCTTCGGGTTCTGTGTCTCTCCACCTCTCGGCTCCTCTCCTGCTCATGCTCTGTGTCTCTCTGTCTCTCAATAATAAATAAACGTTAAAAAAAAAAAAAAAAACCCACAAATAAAAACCAAGGTCAAGAGGAAGAGCATACAATAGAAGGAGGGTAGGCAGTGAAGGTGAAGCAAGATGTGCGTAACGTACCGGGGCCTGTGGAGGCTCGGCAAGGGCACAGTTGGTTTTGTTATACGAGGACTTGTACTTTTAACCCATATGAAAATGTCCCTAAGATAAAAATTTCTTAAAAAGGAAGGCAGTAAAGCAGGAAGCATCACTTTGCAGTTAGAACCTGAAAATGGCCAGCTGCATATGCCTCACGGGAGCAAGTTTTTTTATACCCAGAGAGACCTGAAACTGCTCAGAGTGTCGGGCAGAAAAGACAAGACCGACCCTTTCCTCCCGGCCCTGAGGTTTTGCGGTATATGGGGCAGCCAGCACCGTAGCCAGAGATGTGGTTGCAGTAGCGGTAGCAGCGGTGGGGCCCTCAGCCTGTGCACCGGTTTCAATCCAGGCCGAGAAGTGGAGGCAGTTAGCAAACAGATGGAGGGTTCAGGTGAATTCCCTAGAATGAATTGTCCCGAACCGCAAAAGGACTGGGTCTGTTTTCCTCACCAGATTAGTGGGAGGTTTTCGGATCCCATCTCTTAGCAGTGGAATCTAATTTTTCCTGTAGCTTTTGTGCATGTGTGAAATCAGTGTTACCCCGTTATACAAATTTTCAGCAAAAGCACTGGGAAGGGAGAAGGGGGAAATATTTCAGCTATTATTCATATGCATTCCGTGTTCGAATCTAAGGACAGGCAATGAGTGGGAATTGATGAATGTGCATGATTTCGCACAGTATTTCAAAGGCAAAATAACAGGATTTGGTAACATTCTTAAAAAGGATATTCTCCAATATATATTAATGGTAGTTACTCTTTTTTTTTTTTTTTTTTTTTTTTTTTTTTTTTTTTTTGTGGTCAAGAATAGAAAACCAGGAAATTATACCATCAAATTTTGTTTTAAAAGTGAACAAGCAGATTAAATGTGGCCTGTAATGTATTTATTACACAATCAATTGATGGAGCAAGAAATAGGTTGTATCAACTGGTTACTTAGTGGTACTTAATAAAAAATAAACTTGATTGTATAACTTAAAAACTGGTGTTTAAAGAGGGTGTAAAGCAGGGGTATATTATTTATTTATGGTCAAACCTGTTTTTAAATTTAAGGATCATCAATGGGAAGCAGTGACTGTGCCTGAGGAAAGAGTACAAATATACAGCATTGAAGGTATTAAGCTTATTTTCTACTTGATTCTTATCACATGGCAGTTATATGCTCTCTGGGGCAAAAAAATACTCATGAAAACAAAGTCAACAGTTTCTTGTATTCACATTAATAACAGAATTCCCTGAACCCACATTTCCCTCACCCCCAATTTCCTAACTCCTTTTGGAACTTATTTTTGTTATCTAGTCTAAAACCCATGATCACTCACTTTATTGTCAATATATTCAAGGCTCTTGCCTTTTTATTCTGTTAGTATGATTAGATCCAGACATCTAGTTCCTGCACTTTTATGACTGGCATTGTATAACATTGCTGGACAAAGTCCTACAACTTGTAAGACTGGCCCCACTACAGATTCACATATCAAGATATATTTTAGTCATTTCAGTGGGGATGTAGTGGTATGTCATGATAGTCTTTTGTTTTTAATTAAAAAAACTTTTTTAATGATTGTTTATTTTTGAGACAGAGAGAGAGAGACAGAACATGAGCTGGGAGGGGCACAGAGAGAGGGAGACACAAAATCCAAAGCAGGCTCCGAGCTCTGAGCTGTCAGCACAGAGCCCAACGCGGGGCTCAAACTCATGAACCATAAGCCGAGTTGGACGCTCAACCGACTGAGCCACCTAGGCACCCCAGTCATGATTGTCATTAGTTGCAAATAACTGGTGACCAGAAATGCTAAGCACTTTTATTATTTTTTTTTAATTCAAATCCAAGTTAGTAAACCTATAGTGTAATAATGGTTTCAGGAGTGGAAATTAGTGATTCATCACTTAAGTATAACACCCAGTGCTCATCTTTAATGACCATCACCCATTTAGTCCAATACCTCTCCAGCAACACTCAGTTTGTTCTTGGTATTTAGGAGTCTCTTATGGTTTGCCTCCCTGTTTTTATTTTATTTTTTCTTCCCTTCCCGTGTGTTCATCTGTTGTGTTTCTTAAATTCCACATGTGTGAAATCATATGATATTTGTCTTTCTTTGACTTATTTAGCTTAATGTAATACCCTCCAGTTCCATCCATGTTGTTGCAAATGGCAGGATTTCAATCTTTTTGATCTCTGAGTCGTATTCCACTGTGTGTGTTTGCGCACACGTATACATACACACACATAATAACACACACACACACACATAAACATCACGTTTCCTTTATCCATTAATCAGTTGATGGACATGCAGGCTCTTTCCATAATTTGGCTATTGTCAGTAGTGTTGCTGTAAACGTTGGGGTGAATGTGCCCCTTTGAATCAGCATTTTTGTATCCTTTGGATAAATACCTAGTAGTGCAACTGCTGGGTTGTAGGGTAGCTCTATTTTCAATTTTTTGAGGAACCTCCATACTGTTTTCCAGAGTGGCTGCAATAGTTTGCATTCCCACCAGCAGTGCAAAAGGGTTTCCTTTTTGAACACTTTGGGGTGTTCTCTCGCCAACATCTGTTGTTGCCTGAGTTGTTAATTTTAGCCATTCTCAAAGGTGTGAGGTGGTATCTCATTGTGGTTTTGATTTGTATTTCCCTGATGATGAGTGATGTTGAGTCTCTTTTCATGTGTCTGTTAGCGATCTGTATGTCTTCTTTGGAAAAGTGTCTATTCATGTATTTTGCTCATTTCTTCACTGGAATATTTGTTTTTTGGGTGTTGAGCTTGAGAAGTCCTTTATACATTTTGGATGCTAAGCCTTTGTCTGATACATCATTTGCAAATATCTTTTCCCATTCTGTCAGTTGCCTTTTAGTTTTGTTGATTGTTTCCTTTACTGTGCAGAAGCTTTTTATCTCGATGAGGTCCCAATAGTTCGTTTTTGCTTTTGTTTCCCTTGCCTCCAGAGACGTGTCTAGTAAGAAGTTGCTGTAGCTAAGGTCAAAGAGTTTGTTGTTTGTTTTCTCCTCTAGAATTTTGATGGTTTCCTGTCTTACATTTAGGTTTTTTATCCATTTTGAGTTTATTTTTGTGTGTGGTGTAAGAAAGTGGTCCAGGTTCGTTCTTCTGCATGTCGCTGTCCAGTTTTCCCAGTACCACTTGCTGAAGAGACTGTCTTTTTCCATTGGATACTCTTTCCTGATTTGTCAAAGATTAGTTGGCCGTACCTTGGTGGGTCCATTTCTGGGTTCTCTATTCTCTTCCGTTGATCTATGTGTCTGTTTTTGTGCCAGTACCATGGTATCTTGATTACAGTCTTGTAGTATAGCTTGAAGTCTGATACTCTATGTGGAAAACCCAAAAGCCTCCACCAAAAAACTGCTGATACTGATACATGAATTCAGCAGAGTAGCAGGATATGAGATCAATGTGCAGAAAGAAATCAGTTGTATTTCTATATACCACTTATGAAACAGCATAAAGACAAATCAAGGAATCAGTCCCATTTACAGTTGCCCCAAAACGCATAAAACACGTAGGAGTAAACCTAGTTGAAGAGCTAAAAGATCTGTATGCTGAAAACTATAGAAAGCTTGTGAAAGAAATTGAAGAAGACACAAAGAAATGGAAAAACATTCCATGCTCATGGATTGGAAGAACAATTATTGTTAAAATGTCAGTACTACCCAAAGCAATCTACACATTCAGTGAAATCCCTATCAAAATATTACCAGCATTCTTCACAGAGCCGCAACAAACGATTCTAAAATTTGGATGAAATCGCAAAAGACCCCGAATAGCCAAAGTGATGTGGAAAAAGAAAACCAAAGCTGTAGGCATCACAATTCCGGACTTCGAGCGCTTTTACATATGCTTGGTTGTCATTCATATATATTCCTTTGTGACGTATCTGTTTAAATATTTTGTCCTTTTTTTTACTGGGCTGTCTTTTTATATTAAGTTTTTGGATTCTTACAAATATCGTGCATACCGATCCTTTGATAGATACATATGTGTATTCTCTCCCCATCTGTGTCTTGCTTTTTAAGTTTGTTAATGGTGTCTTTAATGAGCAGAAGTCTTTACGTTTACAGTCCACTTTATCACTTTTTTCATTTGTGCTTATAGCTTTATGTAACTTTTGCCTACTACCAAATCATAAAGAACTTTTGTTTTTCTGTCAGAACTTCGTGGTTTTAGCTTTTATGTTTAGGATTATGATCCATTACAAATGAATATTTGGTTCTGGTATGATACAGGAGTTGAGGTTCATTTTTATTTTTCAATGGACATGCAGTTACTTCTAGGACTGTTCGATGAAAAGGCTTTCCTTTCCCCACTGGATGTCATGGATTCCCTTCTTGAAAGTCAGATGACTGATAGAAGTTCACATCTTATTTCTTAAAGCCGTACTCCATCCCACGGATCTATTTTCCTTTCACTATGCCAGTCCCACACTGTTTTAATTACTGTAGATTTTTAGTTTTGAAATTGGGTAGTACAAGTCTTCTAAAATCGTGGGGTTTTTTTTTTTCAGGAAATTCTAGATCTTTTGTATTTCCATATAACTTTTAGAGTTGACCTACTACTTGCTACAAAAGGCCCGCTGGATGTAGCAGTATGTATGATTGCGATTGTAGTTTGAGAGGGGGAGAGGCAACATTGTGACAATAGTACGTATTTCAGTCCACAAACGTGGTATATCTTTACATTTATTCAGGTCTTTAATTTCGCTCCACAGCGCTTTGTAGTTTTCAGTGTAGAAATCTTACACACCCCTTGATGAACTTATTCCTGAGTCTTCAATCTTACCTTATATGATTGTAAATGGAATGAATCTTGAATTTCATTTTCCAAATATTTTCTATTAGTATATAAAAATATAACTGATTTTGCAATACTTGCCTCGTATCCTACAGCCTTGCCAAAGTCACTATTTAGTTCCAGTGGTTGTAATGTGGATTCCTGAGGTTATTCTAGGTAGTCGGTCATGGTATCTGCAGATAGAGATAGGGTTTTACTTCTTTCTGATTCTAAGGCCCTTCCTTAACTAACTTACTTCCTTTATTCTTCTCCATTCTTCCCTCCCTTTCTTTCTTTATCCTTCTTTTATTCTCCCCTCCCTCCCTTCCTTTATTCCTCCCTTTGCATTATTGCAATGGCTAGAACTTCTAGTACAATATTGAATACAAGTGGTAAAAGTGGTCATCTTTGCTTTCTTCATCATCTTTGCTTAAGGAGGAATGTTGAGTATTTGACCATTAAGCATGACGTTAGCTGAAGGTTTTTGTAGATAAACTTCCATCGGGTTGAGGAAGCTGGTGAGTCTTCACATGTATAAACATACGTTGAAACCATTAGAGTATTCAAGTTAGTAAATATATCCAGTCTCCCTAAATGTTCTTTATGCTCCTTTTTTTTTTTAATTTTTAATTTTTAGGGGCACCTGGGTGGCTCAGTCGGTTGAGCGTCCGACTTCAGCTCAGGTCACGATCTCGCGGTCTGTGAGTTCGAGCCCCGCGTCGGGCTCTGGGCTGATGGCTCAGAGCCTGGAGCCTGCTTCCGATTCTGTGTCTCCCTCTCTCTCTGACCCTCCCCCGTTCACGCTCTGTCTCTCTCTGCCTCAAAAATAAATAAACATTAAAAAAAAAAAAGATTTATTAATTTTTAATTTTTAGAGAGAGAAAGCATGAGCACGGGAGAAGGGCAGAGGGAAAGAGAGAATCTCAAGCAGGCTCTACACACAGTGTGGAGCCCAAAACAGGGCTTGATCCCGTGACCCTGGGATCGTGACCTGAGCCAAAATCAAGAGTCAGACACTCAACCCACTGAGCCACCCAGGCACCCCTATGCTCCTTTTGATCTGTTCATCCCGTCTCCTACTCTATCCCCATCACTGATGTTTTCTGTACCTTGGATAAGTTTACATTTTCTGCAGTCTCTATAAATAGAATTATCAGCATGTAGCAATTTTTTCTGGCTACTTTCTTTTAGTAATGCATATGTATATACATACGTACTTGTATCAGTATATGATGTATTTATGTATACTGTCTATGTAATATATAATATACAAAGTATACATGTAGAAGTATATATTCTACATATTTTACATGACATATTACACATAAT